GGCCGAGCGCGGCCGTTGTGGCGCTGTGGCAGCACGCGTGGAGGGGCGTCCATCCGTCCTCGTTCTGCTCGCAAGGAAGCGCCAGTCCACGTGATGCGTTGTTATGCGGCGGGACGGCAGGATAATAACGATCTCGCACGTGAAAGTATCCTTCGAAAATTATATGTCGACCACCACAAGCACGAAGCTTAACCATATACTGTGGCGTCGATGGATTATGCTAGCGAGAGAATGTTCTTTACTTTAGGCCGAGCAGGTGCGGCGGGGTCTATCACATCGTCAACGCCTTAATCTGTCGGCTTACCCTAGCCACTAACGTGTCAAGACGCCTGTTGAGGCTGCTGACGAAAAGTGATCGTTCTCCGCTCTCGAAGATGACCCTACCCTACAGTTCAGGTAGCCCGTGGGGGCACATATGGATGTAAGAAATCCGAAGGCAAGGGCAGCTAGCTTCGTGCATTATTTATTTAGCCTGTTGCTGTTTTCCACCGCAGCATGTCTACCCCGTACGATTAATGCACTTGTCTCGCCTGCTGCGTGACGTCGTCTAGTACAACGACTTCCCCGTCCACCACCACAGTGAACTTATCCTCCAACTCCGGGTCGAGCAGGGGGGGTGGGCCCTCGCTGCCGCTGCTGGTGCGGCTGAAGCTGTCGGTGGCGGCCGTGCTTCGACCGCTCTCTTTGACGTTGGGCGCGTGTGTGGTGTTCAACATGCAGAATTTTAAATACCGACCAGAGAACGAATGACATTTGACAGGGCACACACAGGTGGATCAGACAAAGGCCAGCGAGGTCATAGCGCTACTGGTTGCCCACTGCCATGAGCAAAGCGCGAGAGTCTTCGCCACACGAGGGGCGCCTCTAGCCCAAACGCCCGAGCCCAGTCCACAATAACCGTGGTTACGGAAGCACCTTCACGTTTCTTGAGCATGCTGGCACCACTGTCCTTCTTCGGGAGCAAGTTGAAGTCCTTGATGCTGTGCATGCCTGGAATCGGCAGGACAAGCGAGGTGAATCGATTTGCGTGTTTTTCGACGTACAGTAAGCGGACGTCAACAACGCCAGCTACATAGCGCCGGTGAAATTGCTGGGCACATTCTGCATCACCAAGTCATTCTCCACTTGGAGCAGCGCCGGTCCCTCTGAATAGTTTCGGTCGACTTGCCGGGCCCATATCGTTTTTATTGAGGGCCCTGAGGGCAGTATGTGCCACAAGCACCAACCGACCTTTGTAAGGCGAAGACCTGTCGCATGAGGTTCGGAATCACATTTTTCTAGCCTTCAGTACATCTATTCTGGTGTCTGGATGCAGATTGCTCAGGCCCTCTATTGAATATTCTTTGGCACCTTTCCCGGCATACCATAATGCCCTCCGCCGGCATTGTATTCGCCCTCTGAACTACATAGAACGAGTGTTACTTGTGGCAGCCGGAGGTGTGGGCTTCATAGGGATGGCTAGCCATGGAGGCGGGACCGCCTCGCGCGCGACAAATACGTTCATGAGGAAATATAGCAGGACATACGCATACCCCATTTCCATTACCCTATCGCTAACCCTAACCGAACTTCCCCTATTGTACATTAGTCTATGCTTTATCCAACATGTTTATGTTTACATGATACGAAAAACCATTTATCGCCCGATCTAGATACCTGGAAAAGTCATGCACGTTATGGTCTTGCTCAAGAGCGTCGAGTAGGCGATCATCTCCTCCATCTGTTCTGCGGCAGCAGATGACGCTCCGCCCCCCATGGTGTCGTGTCTTTAGTTGTTAGGATTCTACAACAAGCACCAGAGAAGGATCATCCACCCAAATATATTGTTGTTCTCCTTGCCCTGGAGAGGAAAGTGGGGGATCATGACACATGTGCGAAATCTTGAGGTACAGCGGTAAGGTTGTGCGATGGAACCAGTGACACCCCAAGCGAGAGACCAACCACACAAATACCACACTGCATGGCATTCAAAGATGACCTCTGACCAGACAAGTGCCTATCAACTCAGGCCCTACCTCAAGCTCATATGACGAGTGCCTATACGACAGCAGTACTGCTGTAGTACATGGCATGTCGGGAGCTCTGGCCGTGCGCCGGAGACCAGCAACGACAGAGAAAGACACATTTTCATGCGTGCTGTGCTTTGTTTGGGTGATATGCCATAGAGATGAGAATGACACAGTTCAACACAACGCCCACCGTTTGTTTTGTTTTTATTCGCAGCGATCGAGTTGAAAAAGCGCTATGACGCTGTCGATGGCGTATCTCTCTCTGCTGTGACAGCCTACCCGCGGAGCGTGGCATAGTCTAGTCTACTGCGGCATGGAAATACCTGAATACCCGGTTCTGTTGTAGAAGATATTTTTCCGCGCGCGCTGTTGTCGGTGCCTCTGCTTTCATCAAGACAGCACTACCATCGTGACGCTCCTGTCCCTAGCCGTGTAGGTTTGGCAATGGTACACTGCTGGTGGATGGGCGTAAGGGAGAGAGACACAATAAGACCAGAAAGATCATCACCGGTGCGGGTCAAAAGATCCTAGAGGCTACGCAAACCCGTATCTGGAACTAGATGTAGATGGTGTCCTTGTCTTAGCCGCGGGTCCCCCGATGCTGGGCGGGCGCCGCAGCCCAAGCTGCAAACATTATACGCAACTCACCGCCATGAGGACAGCAGCAGCTTTCGTTTCCCTTTGGGGCCTCGCCTGCCAGCAGCATGTGTGTGGTTTCGTAGTGAACACCCCGGCGCTCAGACAAAGGAGCTCACAGGGCGCCGCTGCGCGAGCAACTTCAGCTCTCAGCATGAAGGCCGGCCCAAACCCCAAGGTGAGGACAGGACGCTGCCGCCTGCTGCCGCAGCCGTACAGCAGTCGACAACATGCGTGGGGGTAGGGCGGTACCCACTGCTACTCCAAACCAGCAGGAGGGGTGTTGCTTTGATCGTTAGGCGTTTGCGCCATGGGGTGCTGCAGCAATACACACAGATACGCCAGGTTTGGTTGTATCGGGGTTGCGGTCTGTGTGTGCAACGTGTCAGCGGCTGTGCGCTATGCGCTGACCTGTGGGCTTGTACCTCTGGCATATCGACGGAGGGTAGAACACATATGGAACAGCTACCTTCAACGAGAGGAACCATGGTCGTGGTGAGCTTGGTGCCCAATCCTCGGCCGCTCAACTTGGCATTTCGGCTGGTCTTGAACCGCCGATAGATGACTTGCATGTTTTCGGAAAAAACTGCTGCTGTAGTCTTGTCAAGAGATAACCAACATGAGTTGTACATGTTTCGCGACGGTGTGTTTTTAGTACCCTCGCCAGATGCCAGCAGTGAGCGTGTTGCTGCTGAATGCTTGATTCCGGTTGCTGAATCGCGGGCGCATCATTGTACGCACAACAGCTCGCACATGAAAAGCTTGATTGTTGCTGCCCCATCGGCTGAAAAATGTTTCAAGGTGCAAGCGTCAATGGCTAGCATCTGTATGTACGCGACGAACAACTGGTGTGGGGGCACGCGCCGACTCTCCATCTTGTTGTACCAGCAACAAACCTACCCTCAGGAAGACACGTGTCGCTACAGCAGTAGCTTGCTGTCGGAGGAGGTCGTCATGCGTGCTCAAAGCCAGTTGATCTTAACAACAGGACTTTGGATACCCCACGATGACAACTCTGGCTTCCAAGAACAGGCGGCATTCCCCCCATCTTGTGCACACCCCCTTGGGTATCCACCACCCCGCCGGAGTGTGTTGCCCCCAAGCTGTTGCACAGAGGCCGCCGCGTTTGTTTGACCCTACGGATCAACTGGCACATCAATCAAAATTTGTTTGAGGATAATTTTCAAGCACGGGTTGATGCCAGCTTTTCGTTTTTTAGAAAGTAAACATAACCTCACAGAAAGACTACCTTCGTTTTTTGTTTTGTTTTGGCGTTCTTGGCTTGCTTCAAATTGAGATGGTTTCGTTGCCGGGAAAATTTGCAGGACGCCTTGTTGTCGGCGAGACATGTTCCCACAGCTCCCGTGTTCCATGCCAGCTGCGTGTTCTCACTGGCCTTGCTTCATACGCGGTGGGAGTGTTGGCCAGACTTGGAGACTCTGTCGAGGAGGTATATCATTGGCGTGAAAAAACTCACCGCGCGACTCGCCTGTTGCATCAGGGAACGGTTTCAGTTCCTAGGTTTTGCGAGCAGGCTTGCTCTTGTTTGTTGGAAAAAGCAACACGGGTCGAACACATGGCTTTCTTGGCACCGCTTGAGTGGCAAGCCGCTGTCTGTGTGAGGGAGGGGCATGGGGGTGATGGCCCCATGTTCTTAAGCTGGCTCTTTATGGTCAACGACAATTGGCTGGCCCGATGGAGTTTTTCACGAATGGCGTATGTAGGTATCCCCCGCACGCGAAAATCCCACCCGAAGACAAGAGCTCCCACCACATTACCACAGCGTGCTCCGGCCGTCATGGTCGGATGTCCATGAAACCTTCAAGGCGTTACACACCACATTTGTAGGCTTGTTTGAAGCCTATTCTGATTGCGCTGTAGGTTCTGTGTGGTGCGAGAAATGTTCATCCATGTTTTTGCAATAGCAAGAATCCGCGTGGAGAGTTCGCCCACCGGTATCTCCCCTTCTCTCCGTGTACATCCATGGCCGCAATCTCCAGACGGATTCTTGATTTTACAAAAACATAATTGAACATATGTCGACCTGCACAGATTTTACAGCAATCACAACAGGCGTGGTGCGTACAGCCTTCACGGTTTCGTGGCGATCCGACCCTCACGGAGGGAGCACGTTGTGGTGACGTGATCATTCGGTAAATTTCGTGTGCGGACAGGGCACATGCCAATCGCGACCGTCGGGCAAACTCTTGTAGACCGGAAGAGTCAGCCTCAGCTCCGTCCACCCATTGGAGGGGGGCCGAAAACACGCACAAGACCGGCGCAAATACTCCACCAAACTACCCACCTTTGCCTTCATCGATATTTCGAACGGACAAGGCGTGGTGGCCCGACTCTATCAGTCCCGCCAGCACACCAAAATAATTTTCTGGCTCGTGGGTTTCTTTTGTGCACCAACTTGGTAGCTTGAGCATTTGCGGCTTCCCACCAGCTCTCTTCTTTCGGCATCCTCTCATCATAGACAAACCACACTTGTAAAGATTATCGTCTCGTCTTGCGTGAAAGGGCGGTTTCCCTCCACTCACTGAAAAGATTTCAGCACATCCCTTTCGGCTGTGGTTGTGTCTGTAAAGGGTTGTCTCTCTGTGAGGATATGTTTACTTTCTACAAAGAGGGCGCGAGGCTCTCCCGCAGCACAACTGACGGCTTTCTTTGGTTTGCCGGTTGGAACGATGGGCGCTACAGCTCAAGAAATACACGCGCACGTACACGCTCCGCTTGAAGTTAGCTTCGATCCCCCGTCTGCTGCACAGCCGTACGGAGCGCGTACACACGCGCTCGCAAGCCCCCCCCCCCCCCCCCCCCCCCCCCCCCCCCCCCCCCCCCC